TATTTTCCTTGAGGTTAGCATAACATACCATTGAGAATACTTATGTTTTAAAAACAATATCTGGAAGATGGTGGCCGTTAGCTGCCGTTGTTCTCAGAGGAGGGAATAACTGTGACAGTGAATTCCAAACTATGCTGCAATGTTGCAAAAAAATTTTGCAGCCCAGGATAGAAAACATTGTTGAAATAAAGCATTGGGATACTTGTGGTTCCAGCAGGTTGGGGCTTCAGCTCACACAGCCCAAATGTCACTCAATGTTTTGAAACGCATGTTTCCCGGACGTCTGGTGTCTCTGAGGGGTGATTTACAGTGGCCTGCATGGTCACCTGATTTGAGAATTTGCAATTTCTTTCTTTGTGGACATCTAAAAGAAAGGGTGTTCAGAAGTCACACTCCCACCTTACCACAGCTAAGGGAACAGATTATTGCAGCAGAGGTTATGGCCATACCTCGCCATATGTGTAAACGTGCTGTAGGAAACTTCCGAGAACGACTCCAACAGTGTGATGCAGCTAACGGACACCATCTTCCTGGTATTATTTTCAAAACATAACTATTTTAAATGGTATCTTATGCTAACCTTGAGGAAGATAAACTTTCTTCTTTATGTGCCTCCATTACTCACTCATTTTGCCTCAAAACTGCTGAATTAGTTCTGCCTCACCATGTATAAGCTAGCTAACACATTTAAATTGTATATTGTAATAAACATATAACAATAGTTATATAGTTAGTTAAGGACTACGTACTTATAGCCTTATAAGAATTAGCTAAGCTGCTAGCTATGTACAATGTATTGATGCCTCTGTTAGGCTCAGTACCAAAAACATACAATTCATTGGAACATAATACACATTAAAGGCAACAAGTTTGTATTCCAATTTGTCATAGTACATTTATAATAAATCATGAATAACAATACCTCAAAATAAATAAAAGACTGCTACTCAATATATTTATATGTATAAAGAAATAAAAAAAAATAAAAATTTTTTTATAAAAAAAGCAAATTATTTAATCACATGATTTAATCAGTTTGATTTTAATCAATGCCAACCCTGCTTTACCTCATAACTCATGATTTTAGAACTTAAATACATGTTCAGTTCAAAACTTCAAATGTTGACAATACCATCAATATCACAATCAAAATTATTCACAATATCACAATCAGAAATGTATATTACAATATCACAATAAAAAATTTCATTAAAAAAAGCCATTGTCCGCAAGGTGAAACTGCTTCCATCTTGACTGTTGCCTTGTTTACCTACTGCTGGCTGGCCTTGTTTACCTACTGCTGGCTAGGCCAGGAGGCAGAGCTTGTGGTGACGTCACACATGCAATGATGCACATGAGGACAAGATACATTGCCTGTGACGTCAAACAATGGAATATCTTACTGCACCACAAATAAATAAATTTCAATAATTTGTAATGAGAAATATGTTGCTGAAACTGTGGAACACTTTAAGTGTTTAAGAGACTGTGCCTTAACAGAATATGATATTATTATCTTATTAGTCTAACATACTAAACAATAAAGTAATTCATTTGCTTGCCGCTTCTGGCGCTGCCATCTGTATGTAGGCTATTCTAGACTTGAAATATGCTTCACATCTTGTTAAATTTCATAAAATTGAATCATTAATAGGTACTTATTATTATTGAATAGGTATCAAGAAATATAATTCATTCTATATTACTAATTACGTACTTTTTGTATTATCTTTTTATTTCTTCTCATGACTGTAGTTCTCATGTGTGTAATAAGAATTTATTTCTTCTCATGACTGTAGTTCTCATGTGTGTAATGAAGAATTCATGAGAGAAATTTTCATGTTTTACTTAAAAATTATCATTTCAAGGGATGAATTTCACTTGCAACAAAATATGGGAATACAACTTCTGATGAATTTGAAGCATAAACATGTACCTAATGCATGAAATTAGCAATCAATAATTCAAGGTACTTTTGTACCCACTGAACACTATGTACATTAACATGTATTGGCATCCCTTGGTAAAAATGGGCTGGATTTAGCTAGCTGTGGCAGCAGCTGCAGCAGCATGATTGGTTGAGAATTTTTAATTTCAAATTAAAATGCTCGATTTCAAGTCTTTAGGAGCCTAAATTTCAGCGTAAAACACATTAAAAATTTACTTTTCTGCATGGATTTTAATGCTGTTAACATAGAGAGACTTCAAAGTATCTTCCAGGCAAGAAATACTGGCTAAATAAATATTAATTTAGAAATGAATGTCACTTGAAATCTGAGTAATCTGAGCAATCTAACTTGGAAGGAACCCTAGGTTTTGGAGTGGGTTGTTTTTATTGAAATTAAAATTTTTTAACCAAGTATTTCTTGCATGATAGATATCGTAGTACTTTGAAGTTTCTCAATGTTAATAGCATTAAAATCCATGCAGAAATGCAAATTTTTAATAGGTTGTATGCTGAAATTTAGGCTCCTAAGTACTTGCAACTGGGTCTTTCGATTTCAAATCCAGAATTCAAAAATTTGAAAGGAAGCCAGCTGCCGCAGCTGAGGACCAACCTGCCCCTAAACTTTATTCAGTGTTGAAGCAGCTTTTGTTTGGGAAGGTGCTAGTGTGTTGTGCAGTGAGGCGGCAGTCGGTCCGTAAAGAAGCCTTAATTGGTTCAGAATATCATAAGACCAGGTTTTTTTACATGACCTAAAGAATTGCACTATGGCACTGACTGTCCACATCCTGGAATTCCACCATGCTGCTTGTTTTACCTGCAATATTTGGGAATCCCTATGAAATGATTGTTATTACCCATAATTTTTTAAAACTTCTACATAAAACATATTTCAAACTTATGAAAGTCAAGGTGTAAGTGGATGATTAAGAATCTCCTATTTAATATTAAAATCTTGTGCAAGTTTGAAAATTTTCTACTTAATTCTAAAATCTTGTTCTTCTAAGTGGCCTACTTATAATAATTTTGAGATCTTACAGGTTGATTAGTCACTTAGTAAACAATCCGATAAGAGAAAATTCATCTACCTACCATCAATTGTGAATAAGTTGCCAGTAAGCAGGTAGTGCTCTTCCCTTGCCTCTTGTTTTAAAAAAAATATGGATTTTAGTTTTTGCCTTTCAGTTTTAATTTTGGTTTCTATTGTAGGAAAGGCCTTTCATTTAGCATCTTACTGAATGAATAGTATTATAGGAAATTTCCTCACCTTATACAGTTAGAATAATTCTATAATTTGTTTCAAAGTTTCTAGATGAGACTCCAGTAAGTAATTTTTAGATAACCTAACAAGAGTTTTGGCAAAAGTATCTAAAAGACTCAAGTGACCTATATTTTAGATAACCATCTTTTTGATTCTAAATTACAATGCCATAAACTATGTAACATTGAAAAAAATTCATAGGTACATTTTTCTATGTTGCATGGAAGCTTAAATTTTCACTGTTTTGGTTCCTGATTAAAGAATTTGCAAGTCCTAAACATGTCACAGAAAATATTGTCATGACTTGAGATGACTTTGGATTAAAATTTCATAATTAAAAATTTTCCTCATTTTTTACAGACAATGAGTTGGAAGTGTAATAGTGGTGGGGGAGGAAGTGATGGAAATGGGGGTTGTGACGCAGCAATTGTCAGGCCTAGCATCAATGGCAGCTCATCCCATAACAATAGAAATATTCAGGCCCCTCCCAGATGGACAGATCTACACTCACGAGTTAAAGAAATGCGCCGAACTTATTCCCAACTATTTGTCAAAACTCCAACAAAGATAAAATTTCGTTTAATATCTGATGACGTTCTTAGAATATACTTCCTCCTCTGCCCTGGTCAAGGAAGAGAAGCCACTCTTTTTTATGCTGACTTGAGCCTCTCTGTGGTGAGTTTTTTGAAATAATTGATTTTTGAAATCTTTGACTAGCAATTTTTACATGAAAGTTTGGATTTTATTTGTTGACATTTCCTACTTGGAATGTGGTTGATAGGGGTTACACGCCAATTCATCCATTGGCAAAAGAGAATATTGTGTCTTATAAATGTTTAATAATTTGTTTTCCCGAATTCTCATCCTATTCTGCGCTTGTCTAGTGACTATTTTGTCCAGTGGCTGTTATTGTTCAACCTTGTTCTCCAGATTGGATCCAGCTCACCATTATCAGTCCAGGAGGTGCTGGACACAACTAATCAGTTTATTTGGAGGCGCACAAGTCGAGAGGAGCAACTGTTAAGTGAGCGTCGGAGATGTAGCATGTGGGGCATCACGCACTATCAGCTTCATCCTGAGACTGGCACACTTGCCTTCCCAGCTGCCTCCACCATCTTTTATTGTCAACATCCTATCCTGCCTGTGAGTCATCTCTCTCCCATTGATATTACAAATATTTTGTCTATCAAAAAAGTATTCCAATTTATTTTTAAAATTAAGTTGTTCTTTTAGTTTAAATGCCTATCTTGTTTCTAACCACAAACATTTTTTATAAGAATATATACAAGTGTTTTTTAAAACTTCCTAAGAACTGTTTTTCAGTTGTCATTGTTGTGGGTGTGAGCAGGTGTGAGGCCAGTTGAGGTGAATGAAAATAGGTTTTCCAATATGAATGTGATGGTAACCTATTGGGTTATATTTGTTCATGAAAACATGAACAATCTTGCAGAATAACTTTTTGGTAATTTGTGATAAAAATAGGTTTATATACATATAGTTTGTGTAACTAAAGCCAGAGCCTCTTTGTGTTAACCAAGCAACCAGCATGTAAATAATCTTAGCTGAGAATGTAATTGAGTGTAAGCAATTACAGGAAAATTAATGAGATAGTATATAAAGCCATTCTAATGAACCCAATGAAGAGCAGTGCAAGCTGCTGCCACTACCATTGTGTGATCAGATATCAACTGAGAAGAATTGAAACAAACAATTGAAGTTAGAGTAATCAACTGAAGAGATTAGAGTAAACATATAATTCATGTAATTGCAATACAGCATTATGTACACGTGAAAATTTCATCTAGTAAGTGAGCATTGTAAGCAAGTGAATTGGATGCAGGAACAAAAGGCATAAAATATAGGCAAATGTAGATTAATCCATTGGGTGTCATGAATGAACTGTAAAGCACACCTGCTCCTACAAGCTCCATACAAACATTTATTCTACCAAGCACTCGATAGCAGTCCTTAGTTTCATCATTGTTGATGAGCACACAATATGTGAGGTTATGGACAATCTTTGAACTAAAATTATTTAGCCTTCTTATCTGAGCTCTGGCAACTTATTTCTCTTTTATTTAGTGGAATACATTTGATCTTATTGAAGTACTAGTTATTATTTCCGGTTTTTCTGGTATTCTAAAGCATATAATAATTATTATTAACATGCCTATCTGCAGGCTGGTGCCATGGCTCCTAAAGAACTGCCTACTGGCAAAGTTCGGCTCAACCCCCAGTTGTGTCCTTCCAGCCCTCACCTCATGGCCTACTCTGCTTCTAAAGATGTCTACATTTACAACACAAAGACCAGTAAGTCTATATTTGATCATGTGTTCACTGTTCGTGGAGCATTGCTCATCATGTTCAAAATTCAAAATTTTTAGTTCAAAATTTTCAAGTTGATATAAAGTTTTTTTGTTTGTTAGAAGCTTCTAAGGACTAAGGCAGTTATGCGTTTAGGCTTTTTTATTTAGGCTTTTTCATAAATTTACATTGAAACAACAAAATTTTTGAGAAATTGCTTGTTCCATATTAAATTTATTTGGACATACCAATTCAATCATCAAATGGATCTAGAAATTCAATTCTATGGAATTATAAAGCTTTGCAAGAGAGTCTTCCTGTTTAAATATAACTGTTGTGCAGATTCAGAATACCGTGTAAGCCACTGCCACCTGGGCACTGGATGCCTGGACCAAGACCCGCTGAGTGCCGGTGTGCCTGCGTACGTCATGCAGGAGGAGTTCTCTCGCTACCAGGGGTATTGGTGGCAGCCCAAGACATGGGAGGCTGGACTACACAGGCTCTTATATGAAGAGGTTGACGAGTCACAAGTACTCATTGTTCAGTTCATGTCGCCAGATCAGAGCTGTCCTGAGGAATTTCGGTGAGTTTTGGTTTCCTAATGTGCCAGAAAACATTGTTTGCTCATGCTTAGGCGGCGCTCCAGCATGACCTGGGACTGCCACGTCTGAAATGCACACCTAAGATACTCACCAATGCAGAGTGGACATGCGAGTTGAGAATTTCAGGTGGTGGGACATGCTATAATTTACATGAGCTAACAGTAGGTATTTCATTTTGTAAGTTGATTGTAATATATTTCATTAGTGTCCGAAATGTATTTTAGTTTGGCATTTCCTACTTGGGAGATGTTGTTACCGTGTTAAATTTTAATGTTAATAATTGAAAACCTTTGGGTAATTAACACTGTTAATTAATTACTTGAATATCTTATGTTAATTACATAATTACTGAATGTTGTATAACTCTGTAGATTTCCTCGTGCGGGCGCCAACAATGCAACATCAAGGCTGCGGCTGGCAGAGGTGAGCACCGAGGGCAAGGTGCTGCGGGTGCTGCAGCTGGTGCCTGAGCTGGAGCTGATCGCTCCCTGGTACCAATACCTCGTCAGGGTTGGCTGGACGCCTTGTGGCCAATAGTAAGTTCAATAAGGATAATTTCGACCGCGTTTATCGGTTAATAAAATAGGCGGCTTCAATGACATGATGCGGAGCAAATATAAGGTGAAATTCCAGTTGTAAGCAGTGACCACAGCAGGCATCATATTTTTCCTTTTCAAAGCTCTACTGCAGTTTTTTGTCAATGAAAAGCTCCGAAGGGAATAAAAAAGGTTGACCTCTGTTAAAACTTGACTCTGCTATTAAAGACATAATGACCACATTGTTTGCTGTCAAGAAAACGCAATGAGGTTGTCGTGGCATACTATGCATTAAAAAGTTCTCTGTCTCAAGTAATTTAGAGCCTTTTTTAGACGCAATGAGACTCACTCAGTGGGTAGAGCCATCATATCTGTTTTTAAAGTTGGTGTTTCTTGTTGACTCATCTCACTGTATCAAGTGTGCATGCATTCAGTTTGTATTTTTATATTAACTTAATGTAACATGGTCCCTCCATTCAGTTCTTATACATAAAACTATTTGATTACTTAGTCTACTGATGAGTAAAGTCGTTTTTTATCACACGTTCCCAGAGGTAGAGCTTTACAATAAAATATCATGAAAATGATGTAGTATCAATGAATAAAGTAATTTCTTACCTCCGCCTTGTTTTTGGTAGCGTGTGGTGCCAACTTCTGGAGCGTCGTCAGCGCAGACTGGACCTCATTTTGCTGCCACTTGGGCTTTTCTCGCAAGTTCTTTCTCAGAAAGAATTTCAGTTTCGCCAACACTCGTCCACAAGCCACGACTCGATGAGATCTCTCAATGTTGTATCAACTCAACCTACTGTTCAACAGCAAAACGTTTCCTTACCGGTCTCGCATGTTCATCAAATGCATCAGCATCAAATGCACCAACAACAGCATGAAATGCATCAACAGGATATGCATCAACGCCAACATGAAATGCTTCAACAGGAGATGCATCAACGCCAACATGAAATGCACCAGCGCCAGCAGGAAATGCACCAACAAATGCAGCAGCCTGTGTTCGGGCAGTCTCTCCACCAGAACGGCCCCGCACTCATGCCATACACTATCTTATCTGAATGCAATGAAGACTCCTGGATTGATGTGAGATGTTTATCATTTAATGGTTGCTTTTCTCAACTGTTTACTACATACAGGTCGTAATATCTTACAATAGAAAGTATTTACTACCTTTTATCAGAGAATAGAAAGTATTTAGTAACTTGGATGAATGATCCAGTGCTGTGATTTTCTCAGTCTCCTTTTGAATCTTGATAAATATAATCTGCATTTAAAGAGATACGGTATATGTATTTTAAAGAGCATCATAAATTTATTTCTTTACGATATATTGAACAGATCCAGACTCAAACATTAGGTCTCTCTAACCCAATACTATTCCAAAAAAATGAAATGTTAAAAAGGAAAAATAAGTTCAACATTTTATTGGTTACAGGTGCACTGCTTGCTTTATTGGTTCAAGAATGACGAATCAACCATCCGATCATTTGTGTGGGGCAGCGAAGAGTCAGGTCACAGGCACCTCTACTTCTACCGAGTTAGACTGGCAGGTGAATAGATCTATTTAGTTATCCTTAGTATGTATTTCGCACGTAGCAGCCCTGGCCACGCCTGGCTTTAGTGATTTACACTTCTTAATCTCGTTAATATTTGCTTTAACCAATAGTAGTGGATGAACTGTTTTTGGCCTCTCAGGGCAGTGCTATGTAATTCCATTTCAGGCTCGTCTAATCAGCACAAGTAACGAGAGAAGTTACGATTTTTCATTGAAATTAAACGTTACCAAGGCTAGATATTTGCTAAGCCTTGACCATCGTTGCTCTATATAGTTTCCAGATATTAATGATAGGAAGAAAGCACACTTTCTATGTTGCACGGTGCATGCTGTGGCACCGTGCAGGTGCAGCAGCAACACAGTAACTTTTGTGTTGTATTGTGCAGGCTGCGGCACCGTGCAGGTGCAACACAAGGTAGCCCTCACAGGCGGCGATTGGTCGGTGCTCAGCAAGGGCTTGTGGGTGGATGAGGACAGAGGACTCGTGTACTTCATGGGCCTCAGGGACACGCCTCTTGAACAGCACCTGTATGTTGTCAGCGTCAGTGAGGCCCTCTCAAGGAGCTCTTGGGCCACGCCTCACCGCCTCACCGCGCTGGGATACTCACACACAGTCTACCTAAGCATTGTGAGTGGCTCTCAGTATTGTTAAATGGGCCTTGTTATTGTAGTGTGCTGGGGTATTTTCAAATGTGCGGCTGTATTGTTAGTTTGCTACAAACTTTTTAACTCTCATCAAAATTCCATTTTTGAAATGTTGGGAGGTTTCAGAATCAAATTATGACCCAAGTTTCTGTTGCTGTGATTTTTTATTGTACATATATATTTATCGTCGCCTCATGGTAGTCGGATGGAACGATCTAAATGTGTTAACGACCAGGAATTAGTCGCATAAAAAATAATTGGTACCTGTCACAAAAAGTGACAAAATTTTCTCTTGTTTTGCGATGAAATGAATGGTCGGTTTTACTGTAATGATTTCGCCACTTCTCAGATTAGTTAGCTTGATTATCCCCATTAAATGTCCATTTCTTAATTAATTAATCCCACTCTGAAGGAGAGTCAAGTGTTTGTGACGAGGTACAGCAGCGTCAACTTCCCGGGCTCGTCTCAAGTGTATCGCATCTGTCCACCCGAGCACCCCGGACTTCTCGTCTCTACCCGCATCTGTGCTGAGCTGCTGCCTCATGCTGGTGATTTAATTTGACTCGATAAACGATGCTGCAAATTTCCATCCAAATTGCCATTACCTCTGGTGTGCTTGAGAAATCTTGTCATTGCTGCAAATTGTAATCGGAATGTATCAATTACCGTTGGTGTGTTACACAAGTCTCATTGTTACTTCAAGTTGCTATCCTAATGTTCAACTATTCATCACGAAGGCTCGACTTCATGATAAAAACTTTAGTGTGTTTCAAACTCACGAGTTTATATCGTCCATTTTCTCTTTTTATAGTTGTATAAAATGGTATCTAATATATTTTTTGCATTTGGCTCTAGTTACAACTTTTAAATTATTAATCGACATTGAAATTGAATTATTTCTAGGAGTTGATTTGCTTTTTAGCATTAATAGTGTTGGTAGCGAATTTTGTATTCTGCTACCAGTAACGACGTTCAAGATTTTATTTATAGGCATAAAAATTGAATGATTTCATTTGAATTATAGCATTCATCAATCAGTGTTTGTATATAATGTTGTATTTTGCAGCGAGCGAAGGCGTGCGAGACCTACTGCCCCTGGTGGTGCCTGACATTGTGCCTGTGGAGCTGTCGAGCGGCCCCACGCTGTACGCGATGCTCTTCAAGCCTCACAACTTCAAGTGTGATCGCAAGTATCCTGTTGTGCTGCACATCTACGGCGGACCTCAAGTTCAGCTTGTCACTAATTCTTTCAAGGTGAGGCTCACAGCAGGCGTCTAGTTGATAACAAGTTTATTGCTCCTCAATAATGAGTTGTTTCTTCAGGATTGCAGTGGGATTTGATTTGAAGTGAAAATGGCGAATACTCGAAATTGAGTGATGTATTTGATCCACAGAAATAATTTTTAAGGCTATTTTACAATATATTACGGCTGGTTTGTAATTTTTATCATTAACTTTATTTTTAAATGCAAATAATTCAGTTCAATCAACCATGTTTTTCCAATAACACTTCCCATTTTTATAATGAATTTTCTGGCTATTATTTGTTCATACTTGGCAACGCTACGAGTTTTTTTTTTTCCAAGAACTTGGCGGATGCATGGAGAGCTCAGATATTATTTTCTAAACCCTCTCAACCCCACGGAAATAAGTTCGGCATGGATATTGAATACCAAATCTCACATTGTTTATGACGGCAGGGCTGCCGCCACATGCGCATGCACATGCTGGCGTCCCACGAGATGTGCGTGGTGAGCATAGACTCCCGCGGCTCAGACAACAGAGGCGTGCACTTCCAGGCGCACATCAAGAACAGGATGGGCACCGTCGAGATCGAGGACCAGGTTTGTAGTGCCCTAGTCGCCCACCAGGGTCGTAGTGCCCTAATTTTGCTCGCCCACCTGGGTCGTGGTGCCCTAGTCGTCCACTAGGGTCGTGGTGCCCTAGTCGCCCACCAGGGTCGTGGTGCCCTAGTCGTCCACCAGGGTCGTGCCAGAGGCTTGCTGCAGTTGCTGGTCCATAAGCTTTTAATTTGAGATACGATTTCAATACTTTTATTATTTTTAAAAATCTACATTGGAATGTTGCCCAAGTAAAAGTCGAGTTTGAATTATCTTCTCGCAAACCTTGACCATATTAATAATTTTACTGGTATTCTGGATGAAGTAAAATGGTTTCTTCCACATCAGTTCTTGACAGTTAATCATTCCAGCTTTTTTTAGCAAATGCTCGAAATTGATTATGTATTTTGTGATGAGTACGAAATCAAATGATTGGCTGTATCACTGAAATGATGCATGCAAATTTGATGAAATATCAATTGGTAGCATTGCCGTTGGCAAGGAAAAAAGATCTCGAATCAGAATTTACCTTAATCGAAGTTTACTTGCAATCTATTGCTAATGAAAAGAATATGAGAGAAGCATATGCGGCGGACTTTGTAATGATTTCAGTAGCAGATTCCAGATTTGTTGCACATGGTGGATAAATTTATGGTGAATCAATTCTTCATCATACATCTGAAATTGATAGAAATTTCAGCTCGCTCGTAAATTTCACTCCTAAAATCACTGAAACTGCGCTGTATGCTACCATCTTTGCGTGATCTTTCAGGTGGAAGCGCTTCTTATTCTCCGCGAACGCTTTCCTTTCTTGGATCTGGAGCGCGTGGGTGTGTTTGGTTGAAGGGTCGTGGTGCCCTAGTCGCCCACCAGGGTCGTGGTGCCCTAGTCGCCCACCAGGGTCGTGGTGCCCTAGTCGTCCACCAGGGTCGTGGTGAACTAATTTTGCTCGCCCACCTGGGTCGTGCTAGAGGCTTGCTGGTCTATAAGTTTTTAATCTGATATACGCTTTTCAATACTTTTATTTATTTTTAAGAATCTACATTGGAATGTTGCCAAAGTTAAATTCGAGTTTGAATTTTCTTCTCGCAAACCTTGACATCTTAATAATTTTACTGGTGTTCTGAATGAAGTAAAATTGTTTCCTCCATTTCAGTTCTTGATAGTTAATCATTCGAACTTTTTGAGAAAATGCTCGAAATTGATCATGTATTTTATGATGAGCACGAAATCATGTGATTGGCTGCATCAATGACATGATGCCTGCAAATTAGATGTAAAATCATTCGGCAGTATTGACTTTGGCAAGGAAAAAAGATCTAGCATCAGAATTTTCCTTAATAGAAGTTTACTTGCAATCTATTACTAATGAAAAGAATAAGAGAGAAGCATATGCGGCGGATTTTGTAATGATTTCAGTAACAGTTTCCAGATGTGTTGCACACAACATCAGGGCGTTTGGTGGATCAATTCTTCATCGCATATTTGAAATTGATAGAAATTTAACTCCAAAAATCAATGAAACTGCGCTCTATGTTACCATCTTTGCGTGATCTTTCAGGTGGAAGCGCTTCTTATTCTCCGCGAACGCTTTCCCTTCTTGGATCTGGAGCGCGTGGGTGTGTTTGGTTGGTCGTACGGAGGCTACTTGTCCCTCATGGCCCTGGCACAACGCGGCGACTTCTTTAAAGTTGCTGTGGCCGGCGCGCCTGTCGTCAACTGGGCTTACTATGACACGGGGTACACAGAGCGATACATGGACACTCCAGAGCACAATAGTACGGGATACAAGAACTCTTCCGTGTTGTCCTTCGTCAAGAACTTCCCTGATGAGTGAGTTTCGGGGCGTGAGCTCATGAGCTCTGTAATAACCATTTCATGAACGTGAGCATAGCTGTCAAAGTTACTTAACTATTGCGAATGCGTGTCATTGATCCTTAACCCTTTGACTCGTTAACTTGGCACTCGGCCGGTTTTCCTTACGAACCAGGCTTGCAACTAAAGACCAGGGGCCGCGCTATCCTAAATTGTTGGAAATTCGTAGCTGCTTGAGCAAATCACTGACGGCTTTTAAGCTAAAACTACCAAAAATGGACAAGAAAGTTACCGCTATCTGCTTTTAAGTTGTTTTGATAGCATGGCCTCTGAACACTCTTGCTCACAAACTCATAGATTCCATGGACTTGTCTGAAGCTTCCTATTGCAGCATTCGTCACCTCCGTGTCAGGATTTCTCTACCTGGAAGCTGGAGTCTCTCAGCAAACTCAATAATTTGTTTGAATAGAATTTGTCACGCTTTCATGCCCGTTGAATAAAATTTGTCAAGCGTTCATGAAGTGTCCGGGCCAAGCATGAATGAATCAATGTACTATGATTCTGTTCTACAGAGAGGGACGTTTGCTGATCGTGCAAGGCGTGATTGATGAAAACGTCCACTTCTGCCACACCAGCGCCCTCATCCAACATTTGGTGGCTGCTGGCAAGCCGTACCAGTTGCAGGTATAATTATGACTTCATGAATACTCTTCACGTTACACTGTTACCTAACGGTAGAGATTTTATCATACAGATTCTTTTGTACTTCTATGTTACTCTTTCATACTATGATCAATTCGAATAATTTCAGTGGCGTATGCATTATTTGATAACTTGCCTATTGAATTCGGGGTTCTCGTCTCAAGCACTGGTTGGTGTCTGCAGGGGTCTCTTGAAGAATTTATATGTGGCTGCTGGCTGGTGTATCCTCCTTAAGTGTGCGTTTGTGGCAGATATATCTCTTAAGTATATATTGATAGCTCGTGGATGAAACCTCCTTACTAACGGTAGAGATTTTATCATACAGATTCTTTTGTACTTCTATGTTACTCGTTCATACTATAATCAATTTGAATAATTTCAGTGGCGTATGCATTATTTAATAACTTGCCTATTGAATTCGGGGTTCTCGTCTCAAGCACTGGTAGGTGTTTACAGGTGTGTCTCCTGAAGAATTTATATGTGGCTGGTGTATCCTCCTTAAGTGTGCGTTTGTGGCAGATATATCTCTTAAGTATATATTGATAGCTTGTTTATAAGTGATCGTCTGTTGCAGGTGTATCCCCGGGAGCGCCACTGCTTGAGGCAGCTGGATTCTAACGAGCACTTCGAAACTCAGCTGCTACACTTCCTGCTCAAGGGCCTATGATGACGCGGCCCCTTAGTACCTTTGCTCTCTTGCTCTTCTGAGAGTTACTCTGATCATCTCCTGCTCTGAACTTTCATCACTACCTGAAGGATTCTAAGCGGTTGTGCACCTCCAACCCAACTTCATTCAAATACCTTCAAGGAATATCGAACTTCAAGTCTCACGTGAATATAGTTTCTAACTATGATCACTCTTTAGCTCTTCTGCATTGAAAACATCACGAAAATTTGCTGTGACGCCGTCAGGATAATAATGCAATGTATTATTCAGTTAATGAAGCTTATGTATGACTTTAGATATCAGTTTCGGTTGTTGAATCGCTCGTTGACCTTCGGAAAGTTTCATCTAGGGTTCAGTTGGCAAACCTAACTGAATATTCTGGGGTTTGCGTTCTTGGTATTAAATGATTTTGAAAATATCTTTATGCTTAGTAAATTTTACCTTGTGTTCGCTCACAGCTCTTGATTCAAAGGTAAGGCTTTGTGAGTACGTTAATATGTAGCGTTGAAACGTGGCTCTCATGCTGATGTTCATAGATTCGATGTATCAATACCTGTGATGTTCTCAATAATAACCTAGCCTGTTGCTGACGACGGATTTTTCTCTGTGCTTCCTCTAATCTCACATCATTGTTAGCAGATTGTTTTCTTATTTATATGTCGTTGCTCTAAACATTTAAACTTGAATTGTAAGATTTACGCTCATAAACCGTCGTGAGACTCGCGTGTCTCTGTTGTAAACGTGACGGCTGCCGCAGCATCTCTGTCCTGAGTACTGCAGCATCTCTGTCCTGAGTACTGCAGCATCTCTGTCCTGAGTACTGCAGCATCTCTGACCTGAGTACTGCAGCATCTCTGTCCTGAGTACTGCAGCATCTCTGTCCTGAGTACTGCTGCTGACTTTGCTACTCGGTCTTAAAATTTTATCCTCATGACTGATTGCTGCTATTATTTTAAATAGAATTTCCCTCCATCATTATTTAATATTTGGTCGATCTAATATTTAATTAATTTAAATTCTAATTAATTTAATATTGAACGAACCTTAATATTGAACGGACATGATCTTAGAGTGATTTGCGTTGAAGTATTTTAACCGAAATCTAGATTTCTTGAAATATTATTTGATACTCTCAAGCATCTAAATGATCAACTGTCGTAAACAAGCTCTCATATGAAGCATATTCTCCTACTTGCATTATATTTGTAAGTTTGAATTGAATTTATGTTCGGAAGACAAGGATTTTATGTAGACATTGCCTTGTAGTTAGGCATGTCTTGCGAAACTTCATGTCTCGAAGTCATCATGTCTACTCAACAAATTAACAAACTTGTTGTCTAAACTGCATAATGTCTTGATTTGCTTCAGCAATCCTTCCTCTCTCTCTCTCTTTGCAATGAGACTGGAGAATTCCTTCATATTTTACGATAGCCCCAAACTCGTATCGTCTTTATGATGATAGAAAAATTTATTCATGCCTGCTCAAGAGCTTGCTTTCATCTCGTACTGTCTTGTTGGTTTTAACCTTCTGTCTGTTGATGTTGTAAATCTCCCAGGGGAAAGAGCAGTCATGAATTTAATTGAGTTTTTGAAGTCAGCGTTGCTCTGGTAAGCTTAAAAAGTTTTGCTCGGAGTTTTCATTGAATTGTGTTTCTTCATTTAGCCTTTACAATGCATGGTTATTCACACTATTAATTTAAATAATTGTTTCCGCCATAATTATTGACTAGTTCTGACTCTTAACTGCCGGAGCAAGTTAACCTTAATACAAATAACATCCAGCTGGATTAATATATGCATGGAGGTGGACAGAATGTGATTAAATACGTTACAAAAATAGCGTGTTCTCATCAGTTGGGCCATGGGTTCTAGTGCAATAAAGTGAGTTGACACAATTTGTGTGGCTGTGAGAACTGACGTTTGGAATTAACTATTCGAATGTGAATCTTGTGTATAATAACACAAACACCATCAACAATGAGACCCAATTCACGGCTGTTAGAATAAGCTCGTAAAGTGTTGCGTTTGGGCGGGTCAGACCTCTGTGATATAGCGTTTAATTGGTAGCGAAGCTACCAGTGAAAAGCTTCTCTGTCCATCATCTGAATGGCTTTGAGGTTAGAGTGACTGCGGTCAATCTCCTTATTCGTGATAACAGGTGAATAAAATAACAAATATTTCCTCATCTTTTGTAGGAATCGTGACCTTGAACTTTTCGTTGTGCTCACATTTGTACATTTGCCCTCAATGCTACGGCTTTGATATCAATTCTCAATTGATTTCAATTCTTTCGTCTGTTGATGCTTCCCTGTGTGGTTTTAAGTATTTTTTATTCGCTGTCACACTCTAAATCAAGTCATGTATCGAGTGTACAGAATGAAGAAGTGCACCAATTCCAGGATCATTCAAAGCTTCATGGTTCACCCGAAATTTGAGCTTGTCTATATTTACTGAGGACAATCAAAATGATGCTTCTGGTTTATCGAAAGCTAGTATTACTTCCTGTATTCTCACGTGTTGCTATTGATTATTTGGGTTCTGAAACATAACCAAACGGTTTGATGTGTTTGTTATTGTGTCCTGGTATTTGCTGCTGGTTTGCCGGCGCATACGATCTAGATGAAGTTAATCCTTGATCCTGCCTTCGGCTGATCCTTGATCCTGCCTTCGGCTGATCCTTGATCCTGCCTTCGGCTGATCCTTGATCCTGCCTTCGGCTGATCATGATCCTCCCATCGACTGATCCTTGATCCTCCCATCGGCTGATCCTTGATCCTCCCATCGGCTGATCCTTGATCCTCCCATCGGCTGATCCTTGATCCTGCCATTCGTGGCGGCAACTCAGCCCTAGACGATCCTGCAATACCACGTTTAACGGACCGCTTCACTAACTTTATCTTCATTATGCATTTCGGATGTAGCAGTCCCAGGCCACGCTGAAGCTCCGCCCTCAGGTAATGCACTAGAGGAAGGAGACCTCACCCATTAAGGCCATTTATCTTGTGTTCGAATAGTCGTGCAAAGAAAGCAGAGAAATTTCTATAACTCTGACGTGGTGTGCGAGGTGCTTGTGCTACTCGGCCAGCTCTGCATCACGAACATTAACTTCGATAAAAAAGCTATTCCGTATCCAGCCAAATAGGTTGTATCCGAGGAAGGATGTGTATGATCTACGCACACTTCTGTAGTACGATATTGAGCGAGCAATCAACGTCAATTTTTTTAAATAATGCATAATTTCTTATGAATTACCCTATTTTAATACGTCATGAATAGATTTTCTTGAATTCTCGCTTTGCTCCAGATTATTATCCTTGGTGGACAATTGGACGCTCTTTTCTAGCGTCAATCAAAGTTTGTGCTGAATTCCTTCCAATGGATTTTTTTCCTATGATCTTCCCTGGACGGCCCTGAAGATACTCCGTCGGATATCATCAGTTGCTCCTACGCAGAATTGACCCTGTTGAACTTGTATGATAAACCCGCTTTTTTCCTCGATAACTTTCTGCTATGTTTTCTCTAACAACGTTGTTCTTGGTTAATTAAGTTATTTATTTAGGTTATGCATATAGTTTCACGAGGCCGACTCTACCCATTTGCTTTCTAGTGTTGATATTCGTCATAGTAGTTTTTTTTTCCATACGATGAGTAACAAGTCGACTCCCGTATGTCTATCACATACGGTAAGAAGCTCACTCTTGCAGCTGGTGTAACAGTCCCGTGTAAAATTATTCCTGGCTAACCTGCTTAGGTGTGTACAGTTTCTTCTAATTTGTTGATTAATGCATCGAGTTAGGTAAGCTTTATATGGACGGGCAGTGAATGGGCTCTGCCCTGCTAGTTCATCATAATCTTAAGTTGTATCTATAGCTATTTATTCAGTACCACCTCTGCTGTTGCTGCTTCTCTGTATATATTGTTCGGCCTCCGTTCATTAACCGTCTGTCGTACTCTGATGACGTCGATTTTGTCTCGAGTGGCGATCTAATTATGTTGCCTCGTGCGTCTCTGTGCCTAACACACTACGCTGATCCATGATTTTCATGCATCTGGGTGATGAACGTATGTCGTTGATCCATGTCCATTCTCCTTGCGTATGGGTGAATAATTCTCATCTATGACAATTCGTACGATCTGTTATAATAAGTCGGCGATTTTCAGATGAATCGAAATTTCAGCATTTAACGATATCGTAACTCATGTCATGAGTACTCATGTCATGAGTTACGATATCGTTAAATTATTGTCACTATTCACCGAGAATACACTGGTCGCTCGGAATTGTTATTCTTTGACAATAATGTTAGATTCATTTTTCGCGCTAACTTTTCTGCGATGAAGGTTTTTTAGTTTTACCAAACAATGATACTCTGAATGCATCATGGTATTTACGAGTGGATCTTTAGTAAACGATGTGTCCACTGTTTAGCTAACGTTTGTTATAAACGTCTCTAACCTGAAATGTGATCAAAGCTCTCGAGGTGTCAACGTTTTTAATATTTTTTTTAATACTTACAGTTATCTTTGTACAAGAACTGATGAGCATAATTTTCCATGAAAATTTTTTTGACAAAGTCTTAAATTGAGTAATGATGGCGCACACTTTTTATTTCTATCAATTCTTAACATTAGTTGTTTTTAGTAATTTATTATGTTGCTTTTACCGAGCCTGCTACGCTCGGTCATTAGGCTTGAAATTCGGTGTAATTTTTTTTATTTCAGTAATTCCCGGATACTTACCGTGAGAGCCGTAAAGCTGATCCGCTCCGTTGATGTTCATGTACGAGTCATGGCCCTCATTTTCGGGCGCGGTTGAGAACTAAACTTTGTACAGCGCAAATAAACTCGAATACTGAAGGTGTTATTATTTATGACCTTTTATCTCGTGGATCAGTGGCAGAGTAGGTCCTTCGACCCACTTCTGACGGCTTTACACACGCCGACATTACTTGTAATGAGGAACAACTTTCAGAATTGTATCCTTAGTGTTCATTTAACTTGCACTTCAATAAAGAAATACTGACACTGCTGTGTAATTCCAGCACTCCATGTTTCCAGATGTCGAAGTGAGGACAAGAAAAGTAAAAAGAATGGTAGCTTATGAGTATATTATTACAGCATTAATCACTTTGATGGAAGAATATGGCAATTTATTAATCATCTAGTCCAATATTACCCAGCGAAGAAACGGGACTACGATTGTTGAAAGAAGTTACGAGCTTATTTACAGGGCACCCTTGCTCACCTCGTGATTTAGGGTTATATTGAAGAACAAGAATCTTATCACTGCGCGGTATATTATAAAATATTGTCTTGTACAGAATCTGAAACGTTATTTCTTACAGCCGTCTTGTAACCTTTATTCTTATGGCAGTTCAACCTATCGCTTGTTTCAAGTATGGGCGTCGCGACGACTACCGAATAAAAGTAGGTCCATGCGCGCGCGAACCCATGTTCTCCGTTGTTATTGTAGCAATGTAAAACTTAACTATTCGACTCACTGCTCATTGTTTCATATCACTACTAATACTTCTGTACGATTAAAAATTAAGCAAAAGTAAAATGTTTTAATTGGAATACCGAATACTAAACTTGAACAACAAGAGAGGGCTAGGAACGCCTGTCTACGTAGGACCTAATACTAGATTTGATGAACTTGCAGAAAACATTGAATGATAGCAAAGGTTGTTCGCAAGCAGCAAGAATTAAATTCACTGCGAACATAAACGATTGCATCCAACAGCCGAAGACATAGTTTTAAACGCTATGATATTCNGAATTAAATTCACCGCGAACATAAATGATTGCATCCAACAGCCGAAGACATAGTTTTAAACACTATGATATTCGACTCGTTGACTATATATTGTTTTAATTTCAAATCAGGATTGATCCTTTGCATCGTATTAACCAAGTAGAGTTGTCTTACGATTTATGCGGAATCGATTTGATCTGAATAATCCCCGGTTTAATCATGCACCGTTCTAAAAAGCTAACAAGTTCATAGAGTAAACTAGAATACAGGCCAGAGGAACGAAGGTTAACAATGATTAGAGATTGTTTTATAAAAAAAAACATTACTTTGAAACTAGGGAATACTTTACAAGAAAATACTTAGAAACTGAAGAATACTTTACACCAAGATAATACTGTACAAAATTTACAGCACGAAGGGCCGCCGCTCATCCAGCAGGCACCAGCATCACCGACGACGTACTCATCATCTCCCGCATCAACTGGTGGAAAAATCCCAATATCCTGGCATTAGGCAGGATATTGCAAGCAATAACTAGACTAATTTCACGAGACCAGTAATCAAGATCATTTCCAAATGATCTAAGTTTGAACTTCGGTCAGCCCGCGGTAGCTCGTTCCTGGATAATGTGAGGTAAGATTGAAATGACAATAAATGCTAGTGTATGAGGCCGGCCGACTGCAGATTTGTCACTCCAGACAATTTTTATTGAATTTTAATAAAAAGGTTCTTCATATTTTCTTAGTTTGCAGATACGACATGAATTAAGAAATTTTCTACAATTTGTTTATGCTCCAGACTACGGTATGCATATTACTAATGTGGAAATACAAACATTATTGAAAACATTTTGGTAACTTTCTACCTCAAGAGGGATGTAACCGTTTAGACCTCCAATGGAAATGCGATGATCTTCTTAATTTTATTTGAATCGTCACTAAGCATTTAATAAAGTACCATAACTCGCCATTGCAAATAGTATAATTTTCTGGTGTATATATGTCCCTTCAGCCAAAATTTTCAGAATGTGAGTGACAACCATAGCGCTAAAACCAAACTTCCGACTAATAATGACAAATTTCTTCAGAAATCTTCATAATTTAAATCTGTTTTAAAACTTGACAGAAATCAAACACGTTAAGCAGGCTAAGATATTTGCGCAAGAAAAATTCAGCCACTCAAAAAATTAGCGACCACAATTTTGTCTCATTTTCGTGCGTTTTCATTTACATGATATTGACGACAGGCATATTGCGACATGGATTCCTAACCTGCGTGTCGTACTGATGCACGACATGGAAGCAGATGGCATGAGCGATCATGAGGAGCAGGTGCAGGATAAGCTGCGTGCCCACGTCTGCTAGTCTGTAGTTCGTGGACAGGAAGATCACAACCACCACACCCACCGACGCAGACATCTTCACCCACATCAAGTACGGTACAAGCAGACCCGCAGACTCCTGCGCACAGCAGACTATGTCATCGAATATGTACGGAAAATACGGAAATTAAAGTAACGACGATCCTCATAATCTGAATTTTGACCGTCTGGATATGCAACATTTCCTTGTTTATTTCTTGCACCTCATTTCTAGTAATGAACAAGCGACCTGGCTATGATATTATTCCATAAACATGAACTAACTATATGAACACTAACAAAAACAAACAATAAGCCATGAGCGCAAAAAAAGCTTATCTATATCCGACAAATTTTTAATATTTATAATATAATGACACGTGTGTTACTAGTGTCTAGTGACACGTGTGTTACTAGTGTCTAGTGACACGTGTGTTACTAGTGTCTAGTGACACGTGTGTTACTAGTGCTAGTATCCCTCTGTTACTAATAACCCATCGGTTATTAGTACTAGTAAGCCCGCAGGACTAGCAAACTAATAACTCAACGCTGCACCGATCATGATCATGGGTAGACAGACAGCAACTCTCGTTCACAGACATTCACGCATTAATAACATTGAAAACTGTTCAGATATCCACAGAATATAGAAAATGCATCTTATCATACCCGTAGAAATATTATAAATCAGTAAAAAAACAGGTAGTCGATGAACTGCAAATGAGAAAGGCTATGAACAGAGGACGACATTAAGTGAATCTACGGGATTCATGCATAATGTTTAACTTACTTTTCTTGAAGTGACTTGTTCAAATACGTACACATACGCCAATTAATTAACCTTAACAAGTTAATTTTTTACGTTACTAACGTTAATTGTATATTACATTATAATAACGTTAATATAACGTTAATTTTTAACGTTAATAAATCATTAAATAAATTTATTTTTACAGGCACGTTGTGGCTGCGAAGATGATTTTATTTATTGATTTATTATCTTTATATTAACAGATGAGAATTAAAGCTGCAATGATGATGTAAATATTGTAGTTTGATATTGCTTGAAATATTGCATTGCTTGAAATATAGCATCAATTATCATATATTGATAATTGATGTAAATTCTTTAACACCGGTTTGAAAATAGCTATTGAGGAAGCAAATATATTTTGCAGACACAAGCAACTTACTACCGCAACCCTAGAATAGCGGGAGCTAAATACAACATAAGCTGCAGTAAATACAGGAAAATTGGACTGAGAGTCAAATTAATTTATGAGGAATTGCTAAATGCCTTAGAATCATCAGCTGAGAATTCCTCCAAGAACGGATAGCGAAATTAAGCAAACCGAAACGCTAGCAGCTTATACTGCGGTAGAGAGAACCGAGCTGTTGAAATTCAAGATTATTATCTTCACGCATCTATTAACGCTGATTATTATGATGATTAGCATGATTATTATGATGATGGGCACAATTATTTATTATAGTAATTATTGACGGTAAAGAACTTTAGAATTAAATGTGTACCATGAATGTTGAAAATAGAGTGGGTAGTGAGAAAGTAGAAAATAAAATGCGTCCCAAGAATGTGTAAAAATGGGAAAAATCTTTGCATGCCCCCTTCAGTGACTTGTGAAATTTACTTGATAGTTGTCATTTACTTTCAGCGGTTCCAACAAAATATTGCTGGACGTACTCCAGAGGTTGTATAAATAATGCAAAATGTACGTTACGAAATATGTTTTTTTTTGCTTGGTGATGAAGTAGTGCGTCATTCCCACGCATGGGGAAAATTGTCAAGCATTGAAACTTACCCCGCCAGAACATATTGCCGAAAATAGTGCAATTTTCCAAGATTAATAAAAACTAACTCAATTACGTACATTTTAGTATTCGATATCCTGCTTCTCACCATAGTGAAGATGCTGACAGCGCCAGCAGCCCGTCTCGTGGTGATATTGTAGCATAAATAGTGCACTTCCCGCCGCCTCGATAATCTGTAAGCATCATATAATAAATCAGCATACACTTCACTTATAAACATAGAAGAGTAAATAGTGCACTTCCCGCCACCTAAATAATCTGCTGATAACAAAGAAGAGCATCATACAAAATAATAACCGGGAATAAACGATTGAATTGTTTACATTCAGCAAGACATTACATTATTAACTATTACAGAATAAAGAATTCAATCCGTACATCACGTGAAAACTTGATGGAAGGCGCATGTGGTAAGCGAGGTGAGCACATGCTGTGATACCAGATTCCTGCCTGCGTGGTGAGCATACATTGAGTTGCGTGAGCGAGTGGTAAGCGCTGCGCTCACTGCCTTACGTGAGCGCACGGGGAGTATACATTGCGCTACGTGAGCGCGTGATGAGCGCTCACTGCCTCACGTGAGCGCATGGTGAGCATACAATGCGTTGCGTGAGCGAGTGATGAGCGCTCACTGCCTCACGTGAGCGCATGGTGAGCATACATTGCGCTGCGTGAACGCGTGATGAGCGCTCACTGCCTCACGTGAGCGCATGGGGAGCGTATCCTGCGTTGCGTGCACGCGCGATTTGTTCGTAACGCCAGAAGATCATGAACTTTGCCTATAATTTATTCGTCACGCACGAGCCAAACATATCCTTAACTAACACACGCACGTTTGTTAACGCACGCACTTTGCTATCACGAAAATGCGGGTACAAATTCAATGCAAAACTCCACCGGTCACCTTAGTAACATGCCCAAACAAAACTTCTGCAAAGTGTTTCAATCAAAATAATACTTTCATCTTTTTACGTTACACACGCAATGCAAAAACCATCATGCATGGATGTTAAACATGTTTTACAGCGCAGGCTGTAAAATGAAAACAACCCGAGTTGAACCTGCAGAGAACATCAATCAGAGGATATGAATTCATTCTAGACTCGAGTTTTAGACACAATACCTAGCTGGGCCAGAAATGCTGGTCATCGTTCCCATATCTAAACAAATTTCTGTTTAGAAATTAACGAACGAAAATAAATTATATATAGAACCATAATTATCATAGGGTACTAGTAATAAGTTTAATTGATTAAACCAATTTTACAGCTCCTTTGGATGATTCATACATTTAATCTGAAACCAGACTGTTTTCATTTTTAGTAAAAGAAGTTTGTTTCATAAAATCTAAGCTAAAATAAATAAGCTATTACGAAGGAACAAATTATTTCCTACAAAAACTGAAAATATTTCACTGAATGATAGGTTTATAACAGCCGGTCGTTGTGACGCAATCTTATGAAAAATTCCCTTACTCCACTTGGCAAGATTTGGTTTTCGTATTCAGGAAACTTAATCCCGCTTCAGAGCCATGCAATTTCAACTCCCGCGTAGTCCGAGTGATTATAGAGCATAAGCTTTGATGTATCGTCGAGTCGTAACGTAGGTGTTATTACGTCACAAGCATGACGTCATGAGTAGCTCACGTGCTGCAAATTGTCCGGTCAATGCAAAGCTGTGATTCTTTATTACGACAGCTCCGTGACCTTCACCCTCAGTTATAATCTCAGTTTATGCGGACTGCTTGGGGCGCTGGAACAAAGAAAGACAGGATTCTTCGTGCCTAAACTTTGGCATATACTGCGAGATTCCTCATATGTATAAGCACACGGCAAGATTCTGCATGCATAAGCATTCGACGATACTCCTTTATACATCAGCATAAACATAATTAAATAGGTCTGCCAGCGAGAGTCGTATCCCAGGAGCGAGTTTACAGTTGACTGAGGCAAGAAATTACATTTGTTGTTTGGTTACAAAAAAATGCGAGAGTGAATACCTCCGGGTACTTAATTGAAATTACCATTCATTTAATAGTAATGCTACATAATAAAAAATCTATGAAAAAATTCAAGATTAAAGGCTTACGGATACTGAACTAATATCTATTATCTCCATAGTAATATGACAGCAACAACATCATAGACCCCGGAGAGCACAGTTCGAAGAAAATCGAATGTTCTTGAAGCATCGTCTCGTCTTTATGAGTGAAAAGTTTGGACAATTTCATTATTGCAGCTAGAAAACGTTTAATGTTAGGCCAGGATGTACGGATATAAACCTCAAAACAATCATTGAATTTTCAACTCACAAAACTCTAATTTAATAAGTCCCAGAAATGTAGTTTCATATGCAATATCGCTCCGTTGCCGTAAATTTTTTCGCGAAAGGTACTATTGATTTCCATGAATTTGCAGCAGAAAAAAAAACAAAGAATGTGGCAAGTTAACTACGGAACTTGGCGATAACCTTAGCACAGCACGCAAGACGTCTACACCCAACACAAAGCTATGAGGTATACTGCCATGCCTAGCAAACTCTTGCATGAAGCTTCAATTATAATGGATTGCGCTGTTCCATCGATTACAAAAATGGTTACCTATACATTTAGTCTATTTTATGTACAAATGGGAATTACAGAAAATTCTTAGATAATTACTCTTTTTTCCATGAAGAGCTCATTGAGAAAGTAGAGAACATGATTCCCTAAAAAAACACATATTAAAGTGCGACCTACCGCATAGCACGTCTGATTTTATCGATAACTTTTGTTTTTACCTCTCAGCGAGACTATATTTCTCGGCATATATTCACGATCCTTCATGCTCTTATGAATACTTGAATTTTTGTTGTCTAAATGTAGAAACAAACAAGTTCGAAAGACTCGTGTATAAGCGATGCAAATGCGATGCAAAAACACGGGATTGCAATTACTGATAGCGATCATAATAGTGCGGCTCATGGTCGAGCAGCTCATAATCGTACAGCTCATAATCGAGCAGCTCATGATCGAGCAGCTCATAGTCGTACAGCTCATAATCGTACAGCTCATGATCGAGCAGCTCATAGTCGTACAGCTCATAATCGTACAGCTCATGATCGAGCAGCTCATAATCGTACAGCTCATAATCGAGCAGCTCATAGTCGTACAGCTCATGATCGAGCAGCTCATAGTCATGCGACTTGTGGTCGAGCAGCTCATATAGTCGTACAGCTCATGATCGTGCAGCTCATAGTCATGCGACTTGTGGTCGAGCAGCTCATATAGTCGTACAGCTCATGATCGTGCAGCTCATAGTCATGCGACTTGCGGTCGAGCAGCTCATATAGTCGTACAGCTCATGATCGTGCAGCTCATAGTAATGCGACTTATGGTCGAGCAGCTCATAGTCATGCAACTTGTGGTCGAGCAGCTCATAGTCGTACAGATCAAGATCGTGCAGCTCATAGTAATGCGACTTATGGTCGAGCAGCTCATAGTCGTACAGCTCATGATCGCGCAACTCATAGTAATGCGACTTATGGTCGAGCAGCTCATAGTCATGCGACTTGTGGTCGAGCAGCTCATAGTCATGCGGCTCATGGTCGAACGGTTCGTGATCATGCGGTGCACACGCCTGCGCTTCTATATATCAAAGTTAAACATTAAGAGTTTTTTAAGCTTGCTGACGTTACTGGACGAGTTCTTTGAGGGCTTCGCATTGAAACTTTTCACGCACGCAGCAAGAAACTGGGAGAAAGCGTCCACGAACGCATCATATTTAGATACATTTAATGAAAATAGTCAAGAATTTCACTTTATCCATTCATCAAAAGTGGATAGAAACGAGTTTCTTCGAAGACTCATCACAGACAGCTCCCTGCAGTATTGACTGTCATATACTGTATACTGATAGAGAATATACATCACGGACAGCACCCTGCAGTATTGACTGTCATATACTGTATACTGATAGAGAATATACATCACGGACAGCACCCTGCAGTACTAACTGGCTAGAGAATATACATCACGGACAGCACCCTGCAGTACTAACTGGCATATACTGTACTGTACTGACTGGCATATACTGTACTGTATATACTGACTGGCATATACTGTACTGTACTGACTGGCATATACTGTATACTGGTCGAGCAGGCAGGGCAATTGTCGTGACTGTTGACCTTCACAGCCTCGCTAAGAATAGCGTTAGGTCGTTACCGCGACTGCGCTCCTGTTGCTAATATGGACGCCAATATTGCGGCATAATTGAGTCTCAAATTAATTTGTTCAACGCAAAGCACAAAGGAAGAGCTTTCAACTAAACTACAATCAAGATTCTAGTGAGCGCGGAACAAAGGAACTCGCAATTAAATATGCAGGACATAAGTCCAAGAGAGGAACAGAGATAACGTGCAGCTTTGAATTTACAGGTAGAAGACCCCGTATAGCTGGAACAGTAATGTCATCAGGAGATTGATAGTTAAATTTGCTGCATAAAATATCATTCAATGAATGTTTGTGATGTGCATCAGTTAACACCGAGTTCAGGTATATAGATAATACATTCAATGTTTACATAAATGTTATGATCCAGCAAATACTGCGCGAGTCATTCAAGTCCACCGTAAACAAGACCTGCATTTCCCGCACATGCGCTAAAGCCTATAGAATATCACAGGATATTTACGATCCATCCTACTCCGAATAGCCCCCAGTTTTCTGCAGTAAAAATAAATGGTCGCTATTGGTATCATCCACATAAAAAACGTGAGCCACACAGCAGCGGTGCGAGTCACGGCACTATAGACCGCCATGTTAACTGCAGAACAAAGCGAATTTTTTCGACGGAGTCGTGAAGAACAAAGGGAGTTGTTGTTCTGACTAACAATCAACTCTACGAGAGCAGGAATTAACAGAATACGTAAACATAAGCATGATTTGTTCGCGAGTTATTGGTTCGGAACGCCGGAAGATCGTGAAGATGAATTTATTTGTCACGGACGAGTCAAACATATCCTTCACTAACACACTCGTTTGATATCGTGACAAACTTCGCTATAACACGAATATGCGAGTACAAATACAATGTAGAAAATAAAAATTTTACCACCTTAACTTGTTCACATCATTGTAAAGATGACCCGATTCGTACACTTAAATCGTTTTGAGTGATAACTGGGTGAGATTAGTGTTATTAGATGAAAAACTCGCACTACGCACTACCATATTACAAACAGAAGGTGGCATATCATTTTTTTCCTCACTTCGGTTGCTCATTTCTCTTTTATAGTCGTCGTGCCAACTTAGAATTGCCTCCTCCTAACCAAAATTTTGCCACTAATACACTTATGAAAGCAAGAATTGCGAACAAATTTTTCAGCAAAAAGCAAATTAATACAGACTTCAAAGTAAATTGTGCATCAATTCGAACTTTTGCTATACTACCACATGGCGACAAGGCGTTATTGAATTACTGCCCTAGTATTGTTCCTGCCACCACTCTTTAATCAGGGTCATTGAGTACGCAGTGTGAATGGACACTATGGACGGATTCTGACTAGAAATTTCTATATTGCTTTTCATACGTGCATGAAAAGTCAAGAGCACTTAAACGGGCGACCAAACATCACTGACGTATCGAAAACCATAGGCATAATTGAAGAACACATGTGCAAGGCAGGAAATAGAGAAAAAACGTTGTACCTCAGTACCATTCACATGACTGTCATGGGAAGTTCAGATGTGATTATGATATCAAATATTCGCAAAGTATATTCAAATCAGAAAAATAATTCGCATAAAATTGTGAAATTCTTGGTACAAACAATTAGTAAAATGCACACTGGAACACGATTGAGACCTGTTAGCTTACTTTATCAAGAAAACGACGGGGAAAATTTTCCTTGTTGCAGTTTGAGTTCACGAATTTTTGGTTTTACACGTTACTTCGCAACGAAGTTTACTTTAGAATTGCAAGACAAGGAAACAGAAGCCAGTGCAGTCGTGCATGTTATTGTTGGCAGAACATATTCAGTTGGCTCCTGCTAAGTGGCCTCAAGCAAACGGTGTACGATCGCACCAACACGCAAGATCGATGCGTCAACGAGCCAGTTGAGCTACATGCCTTTCGTCTCTAAGGTGATCGCAATTAAACACGTGTTCGAACATAACGCTGCATGTTGGTGCCAAACATCTCAATAAAATGTTCATTATGATGTTAATCTTTGTTTCTTCATTCGACAAGAAGTTCTTGAAGAGCTGAAAAAATATTACGCCAAATGGTACGTGGTTATTAGGGAAGGTCATGACACAAATGAAATATGAGATCATGAGAGAATTAAAACACATCAAGTTAGTGATGATATTAATAAAACATTATTAATTTTTTGTAATAACATATATTTTATATGTGATTAACTAACGCATAAAAATAAATGATCATGATACAAGCATGAAATCCAGGAATCGACAATTTATGGAACCTGACAAGCACTAAAAATGGAAACGAACAGATTATAGTTAAAAAATGCAATATGAACTAAAATATGAAGTACAAGAATTCTTCAAAAGTTTCAAACACTCACTTTGACATTTGTTTCTCATGACCAACATTTCAACTCAGTACAAGAGCAAATGCCAATAAAGGAATTTCACCACAAAGACAAACACAAAATAAATAAAGTATGCTCGTCATATCAATAAAAAATTTTCAAAAATATATTAACTAAAGTTTCATGCGCTGATGCCAGTGAATATAACGATCCCAGTCTGGCGTCCGCCAGACTGGGATCGGCAGCTATATTTATCTCCCTCCATTTAGAGCGATTGCATGACCTCCTCAGAAAGTTAGCTATTAATACAAATCAACTTTAAATTACTTCATCTAAAATGATAAATTAATTTTGAAATTTTGATCTGAAAGGCTAAAGATTATGCAGTTTATCAATATCCATCAGGGTGGATTTCGAATGCTATTATTAAATAAAATGGATTTCGCAGAGGACAATTCAAACAATATTTTTTTAGTTCTGTGGGCAGGTCACTCAAGACAATACTGGACTTACTTTATACTAAATTTACATTTCCGTCATGCCTCGAAGAGCAATAACTGATCAGTGCAACAGCCTACATCTGATGATTGTTACTGTAGGCCGGATGATGATATTTTATACCCCGACGGTTGACTATGTCAGTCCACTTACATATGATAATTTTTCACGCATCACATCAACTATCGTGCTGGCTACCAAGTGATCGGAGGTGAACATCTCTGAGGTCAGAGGCTATCGACAGAACAATAACCGGTTAATGTAGAGCAGCCATATAACAACAGCAGCAGCCATGAAGGAGCATATATATGTATAGATGCGAGGACTGGAATAGCTCCCAACACAATTGGGGATCTCGCAGTTGAGGAGACTCGTTCTGGTAACGGGCCGATGACGTGCCTTTGTGTCGCCAAGACTCAGGCGTTCAGGTAATAAATGGCTGGATCCGTCACCAGAACTACCAATACATTTATTATTGTCCAGCCACTAAACTCTTATAGCTTTTTAATGTACACCATGATCGTATAAAGGTTCCCAATTGGTATATTATTTTGAAAATTGAATGACGGTATACTGGAAATTTTTTACAAGATTTTGCACAAAAAACCATCAAACCTAATCCATGTATTTTTTGCTTCAAATATTAGATCGAATGTACGCAAATACCTAAAAGCAGACATTCAACAATGGCTCGATGCCAAGAAATACTTCAAACACAAACATCTCTGAGGTCAGAGGCTATCGACAGAACAATAACCGGTTAATGTACTGCAGCCATATAACAACAGCGGCAGCCATGAAGGAGCATATATATGTATAGGTGCAGAGACTGGAATAGCTCCCAACACAATGGGGGATCTCGCAGTTGAGGAGACTCGTTCTGGTAACGGGCCGATGACGTGCCTTTGTGTCACCAGGACTCAGGCGTTCAGATAATAAATGGCTGGATCCGTCATCAGAACTACCAATACATTAATTATTGTCCAGCCAATAAACTCTTATAGCCTTTCGATGTACACCATGATCGTATAAAGGTTCCCAATTGTTATATTATTTTGGAAATTGAATTTTAAATTTTGGAAATTTTTACACATTTTCGCATAAAAAAATCATCAAACCTAATCTATGTATTTTTTGCTGCAAATAGTAAATCGAATGTATGCAAATACCTAAAAACAGACATCTGACAATGGCTCGATGCAAAGAAATACTTCCAACACAATACCGTTAACCAGATCACTGCAGCATGCGTCGCCGTATCAACGAGGTGAGCTAATCGATGCATGATCCGTCTCGGTTTATTCCAGTAGATAATGAGAAGACCTGAGGCGATTTCTCCTAAGAAGGCCAAGGATGAGCTGTTGTGGAACGCGTTCCCAATTAAGAAACCTTAAGGTCCGTACTGCGATAAGCCGTATCGCGTGAGCTATCGTCTTAATGACTTCTATAGTGATGCCGCTACACGCATATGTTTCCACGGAATGGGTAATCAAGCTTCAATGAAATATGCTGCTCCATGTTTAACTCGCCCGCAGGCCTATTATAAATTCGATTACTTCAGACAGGTTATGTTAATGAAACGTGCTCGAATAATTGCGAGGAATACACTCTCAATTGATATTACTTTGTTTTACATGATAAAACTCTCGTAGTATGATAAGTATCAATGGAATTGGCGCTCTGTACAAAACATGGTAGTTCATTCTTCGTTGCAATTTCGGAGTTGATAAACGAATTTGCAAGTATAGGTAATATTGTTTCAGCGTTACGTGCTCGCACATCCAGTGCCGTCTTTAGTGGAATCAACAAGCCTTGACTCTGATCACTGTAAACATATCACGTAAGCATGGCACCGTCAGACATCATAGCCTTCATCACATGCACAACTCGCGCCTGCCACTTACCCAAAAAGTTAATCAACAATCGGGACTTGCCCCATGAGTGCCTTATTGACAAAGTTGCTGGTGCGCGCTCTTGTTATAACTTCAGCCCAACACCTGGAGCCGATCTATTGCAGGGTCATTAACCTTATGCATGGAACACAACTCGAGCGGGCGTGATTATACAGCGGTCGGCCGAGATGAGGATAATGGAATGATTCACACAATATAGTCTTTCATTTAGGTACTGAACTGACAGAATAAGTCAAACAAATTGCTTCTAAAACTCCAATATGTTCATAAATTCTACCTAAAATTAACTACAAAATCTAGGAAAAACTAACATTGAACGCTATTCTGTCAAAAAAGGTCTAACATGAACGTCGGTGTTGCCTATAAGCCAGCTTAGCCGTCATTCATCACTAGCCTTAAGTTCACTCTTAATTCTCACGTAACGAACTGGTGATTTTTGGACAACCCCTTGCCCAGAGCCTGCAACTTTTCGGACTTCAAATCATCGTTAACAGCATAAAGACAGCAAGGCGTTTGTGTTCAAGGTGAACGAGAAATGCGACATTATTGGCTTTGCGTTATTACATGGGCATACATCACCTACAAGTGCCTGACTTTACGACCATTTCCATCAGAATTACTCGCCATACAGAAGCGTGCAAAGTAAGCTATTGGCAGGCTTTCATCACATCAACTTCATTACATGCTGCTTTTTGGACCGATGGCATCTATTGGTAAGGCCTGAGTTTATTACTCATTAGTTTGAAAGTGGTGCGAAATTTCATACTGTGCAATATTTTGTTCTTATTTCAATTATTTATTAATCTACGTGAATAGCTCGGCCAAAAAAAATCGTATAATAAACTTATCTATAGATATCAAATTCATCAACTATTTTGAACTTAATGATAGTTGTAAGGTATCTCACCTCCTTTCTTCACCAGCGCCGTCATGGAGGGGCGAGTCTGCAACAAGGAGGAAACGTCTAACATAAATAAATAAATCATAAAATTATCATTTATAATATGTAGAGAATGATTGCTGTTTATCACAGACGAGTATATGGTTGTTAACTGTCATGAGTTAAATGCAGCCTAACGTAATGAATATAATATAAAATATGTCAATCGAAGACGAATTAGTTGGAGTGTCAAAAAAAATGTGGCCAGCGATATCCATTGAATATATTAACCATATACTAGTATAGTAAATAAAATACCCTCCATTAAAGCAGTTCAGAGAAAAATTCCATTTGAGTTTATAATGAAACCTGCAGAACAATTTTGCGCTCAGCATGAGAATAACGAAGACACCGGAAAATAGGCACCTGAAATATTACACGTTAAGTACAATTTCGAATGGCTAGACTTTTCCCACTATTTAAGTGTTTTTATATAACAGATCAAGCAGCATAGGACAAGGTATCCAGCTTATAGTTACAGAGGAACATATTCCAAGTAAGCAAGCTTCACTGAGTTGACGCGCTGAATAATGGTATTGCACAAAATAGTTTTGGTGTCGCGGCAAATTGCTATGCGGTCGGTCAGGCGGACATGCTGGAGGACAGGGCGGTCATGCGACGAGCCACTCAACAGGCGCTGAGGGAGCAGCAGGCGCTGAGGGAAGAACAGGCGCTGAGNGATGAGGGAGCAGCAGGCGATGAGGGAGCAGCAGGCGCTAAGGGAGCAGCAAGATCATCAGCAGCACCAGGAGAAGCAGAAGCAGTTGTTGCTGCTGCAGAGCTTCAGGCCAAGAGAAGTAAGAAGCGGACATCGATCAAGACGATTCCGTTGAAGCAAAATTGCCGTTACGAGGTAATGACGATAGTTGCGGCGTCTCGAATATGAATGATTGAACCATATTGTGGTTGAATGCAGATGATTATCATATTTTACATTCCCTAACATTGCAGAGAACGAACAAATAGACGATATCAATCACGGTAAGCAGAGTGAGTTAAATTTGCCTGGCTTAGCTTCTGGCCACCGCTCGAATTGGTCGCTTATCAAGCCGTTGACAGTCTTTTTCAGGCCCGTAGAGAATCAGATTGGCGAGTCGCTCGCTAACCTTACAAATTGTATTATATAATATCCCATGCAAAGCCCTTCTATTTGATATCTAAGTCGGCTATCACATATAAAAATGGCCATATGTTGAAAAATACGTATTGACATGGAATCCGAAAATACCCGAAACAGACACAATTATTCGGTCTTCTCTGTCCCCGAAGTCGCATGCTTTCTAAAGTGCATTTATATCCTACACAAAACACGTAAGTTAGGAGTTGCAAGGGCAAATGAGTCTCATTGACTGTCCTTGAAACCACGGCATTATTGGAACGCATGCTCTTCCTCAGGACGATCAAGATAACCTGACCCCATAACCGTGACCGCACGCAAGTCGAGCATCGCAAGCTTGAGGCTCCCTATACTAAGTGCTGGTCCAGACTCCTTAGTGTAATAGGCAGTTGGAGGTCCATTACTTGAGTCAACGCAACAAAAACTAGGGCACAAGATTTGTCAGCCGATTATGGTTATTGGATTTTCTAATCATGCACTCGCCGAACTTGTTTGAAGGGTTTCAGTGCAAGTTTTCGTATAGGTTGTATGGTTTAAGAAAAATAGAATTCAATAGAATTCTGTTATAAAAAAACAATAAAGAACATTTAATATATGGAGCTTTGGAGGCAGTAGTGATTAAAGAGCGTCTCCATACACTTTCAGCCTGCAATTATAGTGCAATAAGAAATTTTATCATGAAAAAATTCGACTTAAAGAGCCGGTAGAAAGCGTTTTACATGATTTCATTCACTACAAAAATTCCTAAAAAGCAAAGCTTATAAATCTTATTTTGAAGGAAAGTTTCGGTCAACACAAAATTGTCATATAAATCTACGGTAGGTGAGACCAGAATTTAAATAATAATTAAAAATCATATTGGCCGGCAAAGACAATCGCTTTACTTCTTGCAGTACGCAACGATTAATTTATTGGATTGTTACTGTAGCGAAGTTCAACTCTTGTATTTTCTCAGAAAAGCTCCTACCATTGCGGAATGGGAACATTAATAGACCCAAAGTTGATTGACATATGACACACACACTGCATGAGACAAACGTGCGCAGCAGCAGCAGCATCAGGGCTCAGCCGTTCACTACATAAAGGGAATCGCACGCTTGAATTCAAGGCTTGAAAAGATAAAAAAAACACCTGATTTCAGTCTGTTGTGCTTGCTGAAGCGAGGCTCAAACAGAATAACACAAATTTTAATTCAGACCATAAGACTTTCAGAAGCGAGGTTCAAACAGAATAACGTTTCATGTCTGTCTATTGTGCGCTCAGAAGCAAGGCTCTATTAAAATAAAAAAAAATATTTGACTTTAACCTATTATGCCATCAAAAGCTTAAAGCTTAATAAATTAAGGACATTAAAGTTTAGCCCCTTTTTATATGGATGTAAAATCTCAGATGGATGTAAAATGGCAGGGAGTTTGAAGGGCAGGACGTTTGTAACCCCTTGATAACACCGCAGTGTTTTGAGTGTCGCAGCGAGGAAGCATGAGGGACAGAGAGACGGCCAATTGCGGACAAACAACTAAATAAAACACAGTAGTAAATGACGACTCATAACAACTTAATTGGTGGAGTGAAAGCTATGAACTAATTTGGGTAGCAGCCAACAATTAGAGATCATGAATGAAATGCACCGAGTTCATACTTGAAATTCTACGTCGTTTTCCAAGTTTTACTCAAAATATTCTTAGGAGAAAAAATACATAATATAGTCTATATACTTAAAATATACTTTCCATTTTTTGAGCACATATGTAGTTTTTTCTGTTTTTACATAATTATTTCACATCGTAAAAAAATGTAACAAGTTTTTCACCCTTATATACGTGGCTGACTAAGAACTAAAAAAAAGCATTTTTACCCTTTCATCATTCACAATATATATGACAAATGACCCCCAGAAGGTTATTAACCACAATTGAGTGAGCAACACACAACTGCACTGGTAAGGAAGCAAGGGAGTTCGGCGAGTGCGGCGTATCGCCCTCCTTGTTGACGCAGCGATATACTGCATTGCAGTCCAGCCTCTAGTACACTGCACAAGGTCAGACCTACTGCACCACGCAAGGGTTCAAGTACTGCTCCGCGCAGTATACTCAGAGATATTAAAGAAATTTTGTCCAAATAGCTATGAACCTTTACACTAATTTGGGTCATAATGATCCAGTTTGGCCTGGAAAAAAGGACGTAGCGGTACTTCACGCAGCCAGTGTGTCACTATATACATGTATCGTTAGGTAATAATGTAATCAATTTATATCGGTGCACAAATTCACGAGCGGGTATTAGGAATTAGGCGGTGCGGTAGTACCTTGTACGTGAGTACCAGTACCATGAATTTATTTGGGAAATCCACAGCGATGTGGCTACCTTTTGATGCAATACCTGTACAATAAATGGCATCGAAAAATATATGGCGCGGGTGTTACTTCCAACACAAGGTCAGACCTACTGCACCACGCAAGGGTTCAAGTACTGCTCCGCGCAGTATACTTAGAGATATTAATGGAATTTTGTCCAAAAAGCTATGCACTTTTATATTAATTTGGGTCAGAATGACCCAATTTGGCCCGGAAAAAAGGACGTAGCAGTGCTTCACGCAGCCCAGCGTGTCACTATATATATATTTTGATAATAATGTAATCAATTTGTATCGGTGCACAAATTTCACGAGCGGGTATTAGGAATTACGTGGTGCGGTAGTTCCTTGTCCGGGAGTACCAGTACCATGAATGTATTTGGGAAATCCACAGCGATGTGGCTACCTTTTGATGCAATACCTGTACAATAAATGGCATCGAAAAATATATGGCGCGGGTGTTACTTCCACCTGAATACCAATACCATAAATTTATTAAATTACCTTCAAATCAACGTTGATGTGGTTTTTTTTTTGGCGTATTACCTGTGTCATAAACGGCATCAAAAATCCCTTGCGCGATTTGTTAACTTTTACTGCATTATCAATTCTAAAAGTGGCGTTGGCAAGGCACCGCAAGTTCAGCGTTTCGTTTATGCGTTAAGTTAATACATTCATAGTCAACAACACGTGATGATGGTAAAATGAACGTTTCCTGGGACTTACTTTGCTCTATATTAGCCACCTTACACTGGAGTTCAGAAAAAGGGTTCAAAATCCCTTATGAAAAGGCGAAATATAATTCTGCGACATTGCGGTTGTCTCTTCCTTGGCTACCAATGTTTGACTATCAACACATACTTTTTGCTGCACAAGATCCTACTATGACAATTCGTCTTCGTCGAATTTTCGTAACAGAAAATACTTTACCGTAGATAATCTCGAGAGATTACTGATAATTATTCATGGCAATTTGGAGAACACATTACACATTACGTCACATTACTTTTTATTTATGAACTTTTATTTGTCAACATAATAAAATCTTCAAATATTTCAAGTTAGAACTTTAGGTAAACATAACATTATATTTTTTGAAGCTTCACCTTGTAGTTGAGAAGGTCCGAGGGCAGCGAAACCGTTGCTGGGGAAAGCTGAACCGTTGGCAGTTACAGGCCCAACTCTCGTAGCAGCGCCAACCATGGAAGCTCCTCGCCCCTCCACAGATCGCCCTTCTGGCAGCGGCCCTACGCGATTGAAGCTCGGCACCGTGAGAAGTTAGGTTAACTCCAATATATGTACTTCATCAGCGCCATTTATTTCGTAACAGATGTTTGGCAGACAAATTAGGCGAGTAGAAAACACCAATACGTAGTTCAAGCGTTGCAAAGTAGTTTACATGATTATATCCTGAAGCTGTTGAGACGTTTGTGCTACCTGACAATTGCAGGATACTTGTTGGAGGCGAGGGAGGTGCAGTCCGGTGAGAAATGAAGTGCTCTCAACAGCCCGGTATGCGCTCGAACGAACACGTGCAAAGTTTTTAGGTAAATGGTTATAGATAAAACTACAAACAACTCTTATGATTACGACGAATAGTGCATATAGAAACAAGGCCGAAGGTTTCAATTTCTTACAAATATTAAAAATAATATTATGAAGTAACGGACAAAGACCGTAAGCTGGGATTGGGTGATTTCCTTCGACGCGAACGATGCGTTGTACAACACACAGCATTTCAAACAAAGATTCGAATCAAAATTTTACATTTCATCGATCGGAAAATTTTGGTCATCTACTCCAGGTCATTATAAGTTTTTCATAAGTTGCGCGAACTTTTAGCCTTAGGAGGTACCAGGCCACATGAAACTTCCCGGTCGAGCTCCGAAGATCGTCGAAGGCTGTTGTAATGCAACTCCCCTACTGGGAGACATTTGGTGTGTGGTCGTTGAAGCTTGAAGGAATACTCTATATATTATCACTTGATGAAATCAAGTCTCTACGCCAGTTTAGTTAGAAAATCTGGTTGACAGAATAATTCCTCTTCTTAAAATGTTCACACTTATATGCAGGAGATAATTTAATTTTCTTCGTCACGCAAGAACAAACAAACGAAGATTCAAACAAATCTTGAAATTTCTAACGAGACTTTTGACAATAATTTTTCACACTTGAATCTCTTCTTTAGAGACGTGTTTCATGATTGGCATACCTCAGCCATCAGACGCTTAGCTGCAACACTATTTGGTCATAGATGCGGACACACATTCATCGACCACCTACCCAACTGCTGCCTTACCACCTACTGAACTGATCACTGCTTGATATTTTTTACAGGGTTGCCAGATGAAGCCAAGAGAAAAAAGCCCATTTAGCAAACAAAAATTGCCAAAATCGGCCCTATTTAAAATTAATACCAACGTTTTAAATTTAAGGTAGTTAAAACCATTTACAGTGCGCACATTTACGCTTCAGGTTTTTATATGAATAGGTAACTGTATATAACCCCATGCTTCAACCATGGTGTAGCCCGAATTAAGCGGCACTCGGCCAGTGTTGCCAGGAAGTTATGAAACAATTAGCCTATTAGGTATCAAAATTTAAATTTGCCCATCTTGAGCAAAACGAAATTGTAAGTGAAGAACAAAAATAAGGAGTAAAGAGTGACTTGAAAGTAACATACTTTTTCATAAAAAAAGCAGACGGGCAAAGCAGCCAAATAAATTTTGACAAGCCAATGTTTTGAAAAAAGGCCACGTTTACGAAATGTGGCCGCAAATTGGCCCATTTAGCAACCCTGGGCCTTGATTTTCCCTGACCCTCATTCCAGTCATATCAATGATCGACGATTTCTGCGTCTGAGCAGAACATGGACTAAGATTGCATGTTGTGCTTTTTATACGGGTAGTTCTCGTCGAGTCAATCGCTACTTTCTTGTTTGAAGCCGCAAAAACGCAGACATTATTACAAACATTAATCCGACAGGACATTGAGCATCAATGATTTCCTGTCTTGCCTGAATACAACGCTCGGCTATCTGCGGTCAAAACCAAGTTCATATGTGATTCAGTTCAGCAGTAGATAAATTATGCAAATCAAGAAATTTAGGAGCATATCAGGAAATAATTTAGAGGCTAATAACCAAATAATTTATATGATCATTGTTCCAAAAGTGGGCTCCACACTTTGAGAATCATTCTCTTGAGTCTAAGACAAAAAGAGAGTGTTGAAGGTTGGTTAGAGTTAGAGATTTTCACTGTTAGAGTTTGTTAATAGTATTGTTGACTCTTGATTGTCCAGTCTGGTTGCAGCTGGTAGTTATAAAATTTGTTCAGTAAATTTGCCTATTTTCGCTTCTCGTACGCGAATATAATGTTGCATATAAATAACTCATTAAAAAGTCTTCCTTTCGAATTTCATTCCCAGGCAGGGATATATTTCAGAAGCAACTGCTCTGTCCGAAATGGAACATTTTCGTCTTGAACCAAAACTAATGCTGAGAAACAATTGACAACACCTACTTATGTTGCATATCCAGACGCTCAAATTGTAGCCAAGGAACATAATTTCAAACAGTATGCATTTGATAAATATTATCTTCAATGACGTGGTAAAATTTCGTCCTTCCAGTTCGTATATTTTCATCTAGAACTGGAGAACACAGTGAACTGTCCCGTTGTTGTATGTTCCATATAAACTTCATATAAGAGGGGTTGGTGAGAGTATGGCATTAACTTTGCATTAACTTTATATTCAATTCAATTAAATCATACCATCGCCGATTTTTAACAAAGATGATGGATCCCTATGTTAAACCTGATATTATCTTATGGTAAACATTTGCGATATAAAATATTATTTCTTCGATTATACTTTAAATCCCATCACTTTTATATTAACTGTCAATATTTTCCTATACAAACTTCATATCATAGGTATATATGTATATTTATCTATACCTCGAGTTTTAACGTGAAAGCTGTTTAAATTGAATGAAAGTGAACATTTTGAGTTTGAGCAGCAAAAAGCTACTTGCGTGATGGTGGTATTTCGTATTCATCACATGCTGAACACAATCAGCTCAGGTAAAAAAATTCTACAACGGAATATCAAATACACGAAGATAAAAATAAATATTCAATATTAAAGTAATATCAAAATAAAATCAGTTTCTGAAGTTAGTGAGGGTCGTGCTATCCTGATGAGTTCACACTTCAAATCGAATAAAATTACGAATCAATCAAAATTTTCAGTCGCGCCCGAGTGCTGCCAGTGTAGCTATCAGACACCACATTTAATCTGTTTATTTTCTTTTAAATCTATTATATCAGTGGTTCCCAAAGTGGGCGATATCGCCCCCTAGGGGCGGTGGAAGGATTTGGGGGACGGTAATGAAGAAGAGGGCGGCAGGGGGGCGGTAGGAGGTAGTCCGAAGTCAATGTAAGAAGTTCGAACGTTTGTTTGACGATTTGTAGTTTGTACACAACACGTGCAGCACATGACTCCCATGCAGCGATGGTTTTTTCACCCAGATCGTTTTTTAACCTCTCCTGAGTTTACGAATCGGACAAATTAACGGCCGGTCTCACGGCCAATTTCCAAATTCAATGATCGAGGAATATCTCTCAAACTAATGAACTTAACTTGATGAAACTTGGTACACGTATTCATTAGGACCTAGCGATAATGTTTTGCTCGTGAAAATTGTTTGAATTTTGCCATCGTTTGTTATTGCCATAGTTACACACATATATGGCAAAACAGGCCAAAATTCACAGTGATCAAGTAATTTCTTCCAAGCTACTGAACAGATTCGAACGAAATTTTGAATTTACAGTCCTAACTACCGGACGGTAATGTTTAGCACGTGTAAATTTTTTCGATTGTGCCTTCGTTCGCGATTTTTTTCATTTCACCCTCATTCGTGATTATATAAACAGCAATACGCGTACGTGCTTAAATTCGCAGTAATCAAGAATTTTTTTCCAAACTACTGAACAGATTTGAATGAAACTTGGTGTTTAAATACCTAACCTCAGCAACGGTGATGTTTACAATTTTTTCGTTTTGCCTTCGTTTGCGAGTTATACGGCTATACGTATAAAGCGCTTGATTAAATCGGCCGGTAGAAAAGCCGGTCGTTCCTCCAATATCTGTATAACCCGCGAAGCAAAGCAAAATAGAAAATTTGTCACGAGCCAAACATCACTGTTGAGAGGTTAGGTATTTATATACAAAGTTTCGTTGAAATCTGTTCTGTAGTTTAGAAGAAATTTCTTGATCGCCGCGAATTCAACGGACAAATTACCCGACGATACGGGCCGAATATAAGGAAGTGTGCATGAAATCAAGAATGACGGTGAAATGAAAAAACTCGCAAACGAAGGTAAAATCGAAAAAAAATTTATAGGCTGAAAAATCACCGTTTATTAGTTAGGAATGTACATTCAAAATTTCGTTCAAATCTGATCAATAGTTTGGAAGAAATTCTTTGATCACTGCGAATTTCGGCTTGTTTCGCAATATACGCTAACTCACAAGTGAAGGTGAAATTGTAAAAAATTTTACGAGCTAAACACCACCGTTAGGTTCCGATGAATACGTGTTCCAAGTTTCATAGAGCTGCGTTCATTAGTTTGGGAGATATTACTTGATAATTGAATTTGGAGTCCGGGGGATATTTGAATTTGGGCCACGAGTCCGGCCGTAAATTCGCCCGCGACGTCCTAGGTTTCTAGTGCTGAAACAGCTGAAAAAGATATTGGTTCACTAAATGAGGTTCTATTTGTGAAATACACATTTGTGTTTAATCTTTATCTTTTAAAATTGCAGCGTACTAAATTTCAAGAAAGAGACGTATGTCTGTGGGGTGCGCTAGAAATTCACTAGGGAGTCAGAGGGGGCGCCAGCCTGAAAAAGTTTGGGAACCACTGTATTATATCATGGCAGCTTAAACCTACATTACTCGGAAAATGTAATCTTTTTTCGATAATCATATTGATAATTTTTAAAGTGAAGTAATGCTAATTGAAGGAAATCCTCTTCAAGCAAACGTTAATTAAAACACCCATATGACTCTTGTTGAAACCTTTGACACCTAGAACAAAAAGTTAAACTCTTAATCTAAATCCCATTTATTATTTTGTCAGTTACAGATAATATCTCTATACGAGAAGCATTTTGAATGGGTTTAAATTACAGCACGATAGTTATAACAAAGATAATAAGTATCTTCATCTCAGAAGAAGAAACTTTCTAAAACTATAATACAAATCTATAGTATATCTAATACTTTAAATACAATACTCATTGCGCTATATATACTTTATATACTAGCATCATTTATTGGGAAGAAAACCAAGCAACACATCTCACCTGAATAATTAGGACGTAACATGAACTCGAAGTCTGAAAAGGCAATTTGATAGCAGTAATGAATTATCGAAAAATGATCCTTCGAAAATGATATTCAAATATTTTATATGCGGCATGAACATCTATCTGGCTATACTGCCGGTATATGATCTGTTATTTATTTCCGGCAATTTGTTCATATGTGTTGTTTTTTGTTTCAGTATTCTGACTGTTTAAATAATAATATATTGTGGCTTTTCGTAAGCATATACACAGTGCATTCGTTATGACAGACATCCAAGTCGGACGAAAGTGCGTGACAATCCCGGCGCCCTGAATTCAACCACTTCGTCACGCCTCATTTCTTTCATTCGGAACAAATAATAATGACAATTAATACGAACACATTTTAATGCTCATTGCAATTTGGCAAGCATTTATTGCATTTTTAGTTCTTCCCGTTTTCAATTAAAATGGGCGAATTAAACCACTTTGGCACGCCCCATTTTTAATTAATTCGTGACGTGAAGTCTCTTCAATACAGGAATTGCATGAAAAAATTGAATAATCTATATGTTATGAAGGAAGACGTTTGTTTTAAAATTCGAGTTGGATTCCTCAAAGAGATTGGTTATAACTAATCTCTCATTATTAGAAACATTGAATGAGCTTAGTTCGATTGAAATGGAGAGAAAAATTAATTTTGAAATCCATGGCAATCTCTCACACGCATTGTTTCAGAGTGCAGTAGGTCCCTGAAATTTCAATTTATACGGTTTATTGTAATTCACATTTCCTCGCTTTTTTATGTCTGTGCAGTTCAGCATAGCCCATAGGGCCCTTCCACAAAATCTCATATATATCGCGCACATATGGACATTTCATCATAGACAAAGCAATATGAAATCCCAGTAACTTTTCAGACTCGGAGAAAGTTACCTAAATAAATTAATTGTATAAAGATCCCTTATGCAAGCAATCTAAAATTGATCCTGATACGCAGAAGAACAATATCCGAGAAATGTTACACGGTACGAGCATTTCTTCACTGAAAATTTCTATTCTTAGCAAAAACTTATGATACTTAGGCACATATGGAAAGTTCCCTTAATTTAAAATATAATTATTCTAATTTCACTAGAAATATTTCAAAATACCAAGGAGGGAAGTATGTTGGCTGCCACGAAGTTTGGCAACATCGTCAGATGATAGAAAACTATTCTCGGAAGAGCAGTGTAGACGTGTAAATGTTAGGCTTTCGTTTCTATTTTACATCTAGTTCTCTGAGAATACAATAGAATTTGTTTTACATTTTTTATTCTTTGAGGTACGTATGAGTGAAATCGTTGGCTGAATTTGGGACGAATTACGAAGTTTTGAATGTGTTCCTAACATTAACAACATAATTGGTGTCGTACAATGGAATGATGAACGGGGGGGTTGAATCATAGTGATTTTTGTCATCGCAGGAAGTGAATATTGTTCTAGAACGTCGTGCATCTTGTAAGAAATTGGTGATAGCTATGTATTGATATACTATATGTGTGTGTGTGTGTATAATTTTTTCCGTGGCAAATGCCAATCCGTGCTAACTTATTTTATATTTTATAATCTACCGTACGCACAACAGTTAACAATAACATCAAGAGTTTTTTGATTTCCTACTTGAATTTTAAGCATTTCACAAATTAGGCTAGGTACCTACCTACATTACATAGGCTTATCTTTTGAAAATCTGAAAATAAAATCCTCTTTGTTTCAACAAAATGGCAGTCATAAAGAAGCCTGGTTACCTTTATTAAGCTTTATAGCTATCTAAGATAGAAGTTAGGAAAGTTGACATTTTTTTCCCTAATATTTTTTTTGTGGTTTCATGTTTCCAATCATACATGTCATCATTTTCACGTACCTATGTCATAATCATAATTTATTTAAATGTGTAGCCTAGCCTACTTTCCTATCTCTGCATCTCACTAGAGTGACTAGACTACTAGTAGGTTTTATCAACAATTCAATAATTTATCAAGCAAGAATCATTCATTTGCATAAAATGTCAGCTGACTACCTAAACTCAATCTGAAAAATTGGTTCAAAATTTTCCTGAAATTTTGTAGCTATATAAAGTCATACTTTTCTTTAAATTCAAGTCAAAAGAGTGCTGTTTTTCTTTTTTTATTTCTACAGTAGAGATTTGACAAGGACAATGGAAATTGTCAAATTCCTAACTGGGCAATTAGGCTGTTAGGCAGAACCTTCCCGTGAATCGGATGAGAACGCGGCGCCCATGACTTGAATCTGGCCAATTTGAACCATCCTGTGCCGTGTAGCGTATAGGCTTGTATCCTTTCCTTATTTCTTAGTTAAAAACGTGAAAATAAGAGAAATCGCCTATTTTTATATGCAATACAGTAATCCCTTGATTAACACGGTTAATAAATCCCCCAGTTTTACTGTGTTAAGCAAAACCGCGCTAATCAAACTTGAGAATATATGGGAATAATTATAATGAATCCTCAAAAATATCAAAGTTACATAATAATTTTTTTTCCACTAAAATTCATCATATTTTGCTTAGTTCAATTCATCATTCAAGCTTAGTCTCCAAAGTGATATTTTTAACATTTTATTATTGTCAGTTCGACTCGCGTAGTCAATATACTCGCGTATATTGTCGACTAAAATAGTAGAACTATCTTAGCTTTCTAAAGTATTTTTTACCATTTCTAAAGTATTTTATTTTTTACCATTTTTTTACCAGCATAGTACGGCGCACCGCGCAGGTCGTTAAAATGACAAAATAAATTCCCGCGCACCTGGCACATCTTCCTGACCATGGGCGCCCATGACTTGAATCTGGCCAATTTGAACCATCCTGTGCCGTGTAGCGTATAGGCTTGTATCCTTTCCTTATTTCTTAGTTAAAAACTTGAAAATAAGAGAAATGGCCTATTTTTATAAGCAATACAGTAATCCCTTGAGTAACACGCCTAAACACGGTTAATAAATCCCAGAGTTTTACTGTGTTAAGCAAAACCGCGCTAATCAAACTTAATATGTGGTAATAATTATAATGAATCCTCAAAAATAACAAAGTTACATAATAATTTTTTTTCCACTAAAATTCATCATATTTTGCTTAGTTCAATTCATCATTCAAGCTTAGTCTCCAAAGTGATATTTTTACGTTTAAGCGTTCCCTTTTGTCCATAATTATGACGGTAATTTATCAAGGAAAATTATGTAGTTTGATAAAAGTGAGCAGTAGATATAGCAGCGATCTTGACCAGTTGAAGGCTAACGAGTAACTAGAGCACCGGCATGGCGCACTTACCGGCGAACGTTGCCGAACTTGACCATTCGAGTTACGAACGAGACAAGGTGCGGTTAAACCGACTCTGTAGTCAGCACGAGTGCCTACAGAACGGGACCTTATTTAAAGAATTATTGGCTGAAATTCATAAAGTTACAACATTTGGCGAATTTTTCCAAAAGTCGTAACAAAAGTAACAACATAAGATCTAATAAGCAAAAAGTAACACTTTTGTTACGAACATAACACCTCTGTTCGTAACACCTCTGTTCGTAACACCTCTGGCTAGAGGTGGGAAAATGATGCGTTGTGAAAAAAAGTCACACTAATTAAAACTGGCAACGCGTAGATTAAGGGTAGGTCGCAAATTTTTTTTTCGCGTTAATCAAAACCGCGGTATTCAAAACAGTGCTAATCAAGGGATTGCTGTATTGGAAAATTATTAATGCAACTATTGCAACAATCATTTTCACCTACAATTCCAGGAAACTTTAGTCCAATATTTCAAATTGAATATAATTGTTTGCAAGCATGGGCATTTTGTCACATTCCAATCTTGAATGTGGGGTAGAATTTATTGAATCACTGGTAGAAAACATTGTTTTGCTTGCTATTTTATATTTTCTAAAATTCAAAATTGCAGGCATAAGTCATGTTTTTCTCATTGTTGATAATAGAAATTATGCAAGGGCCATAAAAATCAGTGAAATTAATTGCAATTGCAAGAATTATTATCACATTAATGAGTGGCTTCTGCCCGTATTTTCAGTTTAGAATTTAGACTGAATTTGCCTTCACAAAAGATAAACTATTATCCAAATTCTGGCTCAAAAATTTTAAAATTATACAGTACGGTATCATGAAATTGTTCTTTTCTAAAACTGAAAATAGTGTATATTGCTTGAAAGGCCAGAAAGTGAAAATATTGTATAAATATTGATGGAATATAATAAGGAAATTACAAAATTTTTGTATTCAACTAAGTTGCTTCTGAGTATGGAATAAGTATAGGTCCTTCCATTGGAATTTGGCTTGTTGCCATTTTGTAGTCACATAAAAGATGCATTTTAATATTCAATGATATTATTTATCAGGTTATTAAGCCAGGTCTACATGTTATTTACAAATTTGAGTAAAATAATTTAGGAAAATGTATCTCTACAATTGTTGATGTTATTTTGGTTGATAAATATCAACAGAAATGGCTTTTTAATTCATAAATTGAATTAAACTAGTCATATGGTTCAAAAAATAGTTGAATAGTTTTTGTATGGTTTCCTACTATCCTTTTATCAGATAGGTACTAGTCATTGCTTGCAGTATCATGAAATTTGAAGAGCATCCACAAAAACTATTGTCTTGCGCATTTATTATGTTTCATTAACTTATGAAGAACTCTACAACTTGTTTTGTTTGCTGTGTACCCACATTTGTGAAATGTAACTGAAAAAGTAATTAAATGAAACTTTTTAGTTAACAAGATTATGTGGTTATGATTTAAGATTCGTGTGTTCATTCAGTAACCTGAAGTTAAGTGGTAAAATAAAATACTTGAAAAATTAAAAAAAAACAATGTTTTTCTTGTGGACTAAAAAGTAGAAAATAAATTATGGCTCGCCCCAAAAAATGTGTGTTGGGCAGATTTATGATTAAAGCAAAAAGCACACAACACACGAATTTTGGAAATTTGATGGTGAACGTACAGCCCGACCCACGTCTCTTANTTTTTTTTTAAAGTTTTTTTAAGTATTTTATTTTCTCCTTTTTAGTCCGTTGCTACACATCAAAAATGTTGTTGCGAGCCAATTTATTTGACTTGATGTACGCATCGATGATCCGCAGCGTTAGCGCCAGCATGTCTATAATGTCAGCGCCGGCACGTCATACTATATAAATATATATATAAACTTTACTCAATTAAGCTAATTTAGGTCTCTAATTGCTAGTTTTTATGAATGTATCTGAAATTGTAAGGCGAAAATAGCCTGCATGCCAAATTTCAGATCTCTAGATCAATCAGAAGTGGGCTAATTTTTCTTGTCAATGTTAACAACAAACAAATCCACAAACAAACGCAAAGCTAAGTTAAAAAAAAAACGTGTTGATAAGGCTATAGCTGCTCATGAGTGAGCTATAATCGTCCATGTCCCATGTGAAATATTGGGCAGATTTTTGATGAAATTGTGTTATCAGGCAGTATCATTTTACTTGAGATTTTCTACTTGGAATGAGTGAAAATGTATGCATACAGACTTTCATAATTAATTACCTGTAATGGTTCTTTATATGTTCAAATCAATCTAGTCTGAAAGAAAGCTAGACTAGTCTGACTTGTATCTCACACTTGAACACATTTCCTCATCTGGTGGGCAAGTATATACATTTAATGTAAAAATGGTGGTTCCTTTTCCTTTATGGTTCCTTCCTTGCGGAGAACAATCAACCTTCATTGCTCCATTCAATTTGGCTATAAGAATTCAATCTGCTCTTGTCCTGACTTAACATTGTAAATTTTCTATTATAAATCAAAACATCAGAAAAAATTGAAATGTCATGTCTAAACATTCCACTGTGTTGCTTAATATGATTGCACATATCTAAATTGATATATGAATGTAATATACATCTGGTAGACAAACGTGGATTAAGCTTGTTCTTTAGAAATGTTCTTCTCTGTTTTCATTAAAATAGAATTATATTGTAGTATGGAAATGTTATAAGTTCCATATTAAAAAAAAATAGTGCAATTCATTGTATAAAATGACTATTTTATTGTAAGAAGTGATACTAGTGTAACTGGAACATTACCACAGAGTGGAAATGGTTAAGAGGCTTTCATTCTGCTGCATCGAATGGTACTAGAACCATCTCTGTACGTTGATTTATGCGTTCACAACAGATCCCGAAAAGGGTGGGTTGGTGGAGTCCCTTAATAAAAGTCAAGGGGGATAATTCTGGCCAGGCACTATTAAATGTGCTATCACTGGACCTGCAGCTCGGTTACCACTCAGCAACAT